GATAAGTGCAAATTCTGAAGAACCTAAAGCTAAAGTAAATATAGAAGTGATACTGTATGTTATAAGGTACACTGACTTTTATCCCCAATCAAATCCAGCTGATCTTAAAATATTGCCCATTCTTTATAGAAGACAATTATGCTCATAGGCCTTTAGGCCAAAACCAGCACAGATTCTAGGGTAAATCATTTTGATTTGCTCCTATGGTTGAAGGCGCTACTTATTTTGAAGATTAGCCCACCAGGGATCAACGTTGTCAGGTTTTATTTATACTAGAGTGAGCATTGCTCGTTACATCCGTGGTTAAGTTTTAGTCAACTGAAAATTAAATAATTTCGGGATATATTACTATTTACAAAAATTATTCTTAGTCAAAGCGACAAACGGTTTTGTAATTTTTTGTGTTTCTGAGTAGTTGGATCCCTTGATTCGCTATCTCAATGCTTTATCTTGATGCTTGCGTTTACGACCGTTGATGACCAGCTTTGAAAGTTGTTACAGCATAAATTGTTCCTTTGAAAATATAAGTCACCTGACCTAATTTTCCCGCCACGCGTAGTCGAAGTGAATTCGCAATTACAATAATTAATGCTTACTCACTCTTCTCACTAGCCATCACAGATACTAGATACCACAATAAACTAGACCACGCGCATTTTCATCGGTTTTTTAATCGTGATCTATTGGAGAGGAGACGCCGAGACTACGTCACCGAGAACAATAATGTTGCATCCTTACTATAGTAAAAAGAAATGGCGAGTAGCGAAGCCAATCAAACTGCGGTGTTGTTTATACAACGCTGGTAGATTTATACTAACAGATATGTCTGATCAGTTTATGTTCCTTAACCTAAATGATAAGATCTTTTTGACCGTGTTCACACCATGATTTTTCTGCTCACTTGATACGGATTTAACCTATGTAATGCAAGGAATGCTTAGGTAGGGGTAACAAAATTATTATTATTAGTACTTAGCTCAATTGTCATTAAGGATTTAATCAATCAATGGCTAAGGTATCAGAGAGTACAGCTTATTTTAATGCCACTAGAGTTCCTACAGCTCCATAGACAATCAAAATAAAGTCTTTAACAGAACCCCTTTTTACTGTGTAATTTGGCTTAAGTTGCTGTACATTAAAATCGGTTTACAGTTATAATTGCAGTTCATTATAAATTATTGCTTAAATGAGGTGCCTGGGTCATCTAAGGATTTCTGCTGTGTCCAGCCAGACCTTAAATGAAGTTCTATTCCCATGAGTGATGTGGCAAATTCCCACACTTCAGCCACAAGCCCGAGTTCCAGCATAGTTAATAGAGGAAACCTCTATTAACTATGGTTCCAGGCATTCATCTATACTTGCTAAAGCAACAGAATGGAAAGGAAGCTGAGTGTGAAGGTGCCACTTATAAAAAAATAAATAAATAAATAAACGCTTAAAAATCCACTTGGGATTGCTGAGAAACAGTTTCCAAAGTGCTTGTAAATTTAGAGATGGTAGCTGTAATGAAGTTGTTACGTCTCTTATTAGCCCTTATTCACTGTACTCATCACTGACCGCAAAGGTGGCTCATGAGCTAAATTAATTACGGCGGCTTGGGTGGAACACAGTTGCAATCATCTAATCACTAAGGCCAATGTTTTCGTATGCGACTTAACCAACAGCCACGTTTTAACAACCCCATTGCTTCAATTTGACGAGGGGGACAAGACACTGCCTTGCACCTGCCTCGCACTTACTTCCGCTCGCCTGCAAAGCACTGAAAAGGGTAACATCTTTCAGATAACTTCTAGTTAATTTCAATTGATGAAAATCAAAGGTTCGGCTTCANATTCCACCCTGTGGATAAAGCCCAAGAGAGACTTATGGATAAAATGAAAATGAACTCAAGCATAAGTTCTAAAAGGTATTTTATTTGAGGCACTGGTTCACAGTAAACACGACTCCCCCATTAAAACTTCGTACAGACTTGGTACAATTTTCGTAACTCCGCCATTTCCCTCTCAAAGCCATTGTCAAGTTGAAGATATTCTTAATTACTGTAAAAGCCATTTCGATGATCGCGTTTGTGCAAAGTTAGCTTGAATACCACAAACAACAATGAACTAGAGTTCTCGATATAAGTTAAAAAAGTATCCAAATGAACTACAAAATTAGACATTAAAACTCCACCAAATATCTAAGTTAGCGGTATTCTTAGACCTTTTGTAGCTTTTTTTCGTTTTTTGAGTGAAATATCAATAACGTAAAAGTAACATTAATGGACGTCACTGTAACTGCTTATGACTATAATACTCGCAAAAGAGTTATAAATCTTCTAATAAACGAGCTATTTAGAGTAACACTCTATACTACAAAACTCTGATAAGCGATGTCTTAACCTGCATATTTCGCTTTTTTTCCTTTTGTCTTAATTTCATCGATGTTTTTCATTATTCTATTTTTCATCTACTAAAGTAGAGATAACAATGAAATTTAACAAATCGAAAGGTAGTAGGAGTGCAAAATACCCGCAAGCGAGTTGCATTGTGCATTTACTGAACATGCAAATCACATTTTGAATATAACATTACTTTACTACAGAACCTTCTATTGTTCATAAATATTTGCAAACAAGCAATAAAATAAACAAACCTGAATGGTAGAAAACCTCCAACAACCATCCTCACCAAGGTGCTACGATACCTAGAAGATATGATAAATGAGAGGTCAGATGATATAATTATTTAATCAAAAACACTACTACCTGAGTGTATAATCCATTTATATGAAAGGAGCAAAAATCAAAACAAATGTAAAAGAGGATTATACAAAGTAACAATGAAATATCACTATTTTTTGTTGAGTACTTAAGGTAAACTGAAGTCTTACAAAATGCTGCACCAGAAAAATAATTGAAGCAAAGTTAGTCTGTGAGCTCCCAAGAACTGTAAGACAAAGAAAACTGATGTGAAAACTGTAAGAGAGAGCAGATATGGGTAAGTACGATGGTACCAGCTCTTGATGATTCCACTTTGGTTGACATTCACAATTAGGGATTAGCAAACTAAGGGAACTGATCTTATTAGAATACTCAAAAGTATTAAGAATAACAGATTGTTACCATGGTATGGGAGGAATCTCTCTGGGAATGTTCTTAGTTCTGCATGGGGAATTAAAGCTTCCAGCCCAGTTCTTGCCAAATATTCCACCCAGGATGGTTAATGGAAACCCAACTTTAAGAAAAGCAAATCAAACATGGAACATTTCTATGTACATGTAATTATTATATAACACATTGGGTAATACTGTTAAAATAAAATATTGCTCACTGATACATTTTTTTTTTCAATTTTACTCTTTTCCCATAAAAGTATGATTGTCAAAGGGATAAGCTGTCATCAGACTTGGCAGTCAGTTGAACCGTTTTGATGAAGGAAAAGTACGACCTTAGTTATTGACAGTCAGGTCGTTGTTGGAAAGGTGCCCTGTGGGACACTTTGATCAAACGAGTCACAATCACAATTTCCACTGGAAACAATTCTAAATAACAATAAAGACAATAACTCTATGGTTGGCTATAATATATAAGCTGTGTGACCAAGACTTGAAACAAAGCCTCTTTAGTTCCTGTTCTAGACATTAATTTCCAAATAGGCACCTTAAGACAAGGAAATTGATCAGAAATCATAATCAAGCAAGGGAAAGATAGGGGTAGAAAAGGGTAATTTAGGGAAGTGAAAGGGGAATGGGAATGGGGTAAGAAAGAGAGAGAAAAAAGGTTTAAAAGGGGGAAAAGGGGGTAAATGGAAGAATGATAGGGAAAGGGGAGGTTCAGAATAGAAAGAGGGAGAATAAGGGGCAAGAGCAAAGTTCTCCAGTGGCTGGTATACTTGCAAGCCACCCATTTCTGAAGTACTTCAGCTGGCTACTTCAGCTGGACAAAGCAGTAAAATAGTAGTCTTGATCTGATATAAATATTAAATCTTTGATGGCTTGTCGCGCTGTTGTTGCTGTTTTTTTTTTGTTGTTATGACAAACTGCTAAAAGATCCCTGGAGAACACTGTGAGAGCAGAGAGGGATGTACAGATAATAGAAAGAGAAGGGGAGGAAGGGAAATCAAGGGGGGGGGGGAAACAAACTTTCTTAAAGCCTCAGTGTAGTGTTAGTGTGTGTGTCATGAATATTTCAACTAACCAATGAGCCAGTTGAGCATCAAGAGAATTATGGTGGTGTAGGGCAGAGCTTGGGTGGACTGATAATACCAAGCAGTCGAGTTGATGACACTCCAGATCATAAAAAATGGCACTAAAGGAAAACAAATACAGTAAATTATTGTGACTTGTCATCTTCAACAATAGTTACATGTATATTGAACATCTGGGAGACTTCCTACAGTAAGATTCAATCACACGACTAGCATTTGAAACATGACGGTGAGCAGTCTTTACAGAACCCTTCATAATTGGCTCTGACAAACAACGAATGCTCCAAATGTCAGCTTTGAAACTATTTACAGCTGCCAATTTGCTATACCAAAATTACCTTGTTACTCCAGCCAATGCACCTCACAGTTTCTTTAGAAACTCAACCCCTTAATTCATTACTAACAAAACCTACCTGAGAAAATACTGGTTGTTAAGACAACATTCCACACCCAGTTGGTTCCTCCAATTTTTCTATAAAAGTTACTGGATACATAGCCTGAAATGCCTAAAAAGGTAAAAAAAATCTTTTTAGTGACCAAATCGATTTCTCTGGTGACTGGCACAAAAAGTGATAGTCACCACTAGAAGCCCCTGATGTGGCATCATGCTTGATCAATCCCAAAAAAACTAAGGCCAGCATCCTAATCAAAGCACTACAGACTAGGTAACTGTGCCAACTTATGTGATAAATTAACCAAAAAAAAAAAAAATAGTTGTCTTCTTGACAATTGTCTTCAGTTGATAAAAAGACTTTGCTTTAATATTCCCAATATTATGATGGCTATGAAGTAGTGGGCATTAATAAACAGTTCAAGTGTATGTATAATTATGTGTAATTTATTAACTACTCACAAGGCAAGAAAACTTTGTAACTGAAAGAGCACTTACTCAAGTGTGTGTATAATTATGTACAATTTATTAACCACTTA